ACCTAAATGGTACTTTTAACATGATACCTACTTAACAGCCGATGCGAAAGTTCTTTTTTACCAAACTAGACATAACCAATTAAAGTAGTAATTAATTTAGTACAATTTACCTACACCTCAGCAATGAAGAAGTCGTAAATATATTCAAATTCCAATTAAAACTAAACTCTAATTGAAAGAGATACGGTTGCTTTTGTCACTTATGAAGGACTTTGTTTTTTTAAGTTTTATTACGGAATATTGAATCGAAGTTCGGTCATTAAATACGACTAACGTCTTAGGTATGATACTCGGTTACGGCAAAACTAAACATTTTGTATTTTAATAATTTGACTACCTACCTCGTCGGTTGGGTGGTCCAAGCGTCGCTATTATCGAATAAGGGTTGTTGGAGATGATGAGACGGCCCGCCCGGCGAATAATATAATTTTAAATTAAATATTATGTTAGTAAGATATAATGTTATTAGAAGTCATTAGTACCTACAGACAGTGTATTGATTTGTGTTTGGATTGATTAAATAGTCTGTGGAGCCTCAGCGCGGCATGTTCAAACTGACCAATCGCGTTCGCGCATTTTATTTCGGCGCATGCCCGCACGGCAGCGCGCGGAGCGGTGGCGTTCTGCGTCCTGCGTCCGCCATACTTAAAAAAAAAATATAATCAATAACTGTAGTTTCTCATTTCTTTACCTCGCGCGCACCCGCATCGGCCACAAGGGTGTTGTGTTTCCGGGTCGAGAAAGGCGAGGAGCTTTTCCGATTTTTTAATAATTAACATAACTTAACGACACTCTTTTTATCCCCGAAGCGGTAGGCAGAAGTGCACCTTATCTACGGCACTTAATTCCTCTGTACAATGTACCACCCACTTTACACTTTATTTATTGTATGAGTCCCATGTAATTGGGGGTGAGCCCATTGCCATATACCGGGCACAATTCCAGACTCCGTGCTACTACTGTGAATTAAAAAAAACATTAATACTTTGTCCGACCAGTAATCGAACCCGAGACCCCTTGCCTGGCAGTCGCACTTGCGACTACTCGGCCCATTGGCCGAAAAAATGAGACTACCTCATTAGGTAGTCTCATTTTTTAATAATTTCTCAGTAGTTATTATTATTATCGTAGTCTGAAATTATGCCCGATGTGTAATTAAGTACTTGCATTAATCAAAAATAAATTATATCGACTTTTCAATACAGTACAATGTTAAAAAATAATCACACTTTTATTACATAAGTAATTAATTTTATGACCAACTTAATTTTAGTATTTTTCCAGCAATTGTTTAAGAAATAAGTATGCTGTTTGACGCTAAATAAACGTGACGTCACAATACACAATCTCGTACAAAATTCATAGAAAACTGTCGTTTATGACACCTCTGCCTACCCCTTTGAGGAGAAAAAGGCGTGATGATTTAGTATTTAGAACACATCTGTTCGACCATTTTACGTTAAGTACCTATCTTGTTACATTCATGGCGAATTCTTTTTTTTATAAACATACAAGTTCACATACACATGACACCCAGACCCGGAACAATCTGTGGATCACACAAACAGTTGCTCCGTGCGGGAATCGAACCTGCGATACGTTGCGTGGCAACCACTTGCCCAATCGCGCCTACCGTGCAGTCAAATGGACACGAACTGGTGGGTGGACGCGAAGAAGCGAATTTTAAGTTGGACGACTGAATTAAAAGTACTAAACTGCCTTGTAGCCTATTTGCAGAAATAAATTCACTTGATTGGCGTGACGTGAACAGGCGATCTCACCCCAATTAAAACACAAGAATTATAAGTTACAAATTATTTATTTACACTTATTACAACGCACATTTAAGTATTATATCGTCCATTATTTACAATTCACATACATGCACAATTTACTCAACAATTTTGGATGTTATCTCAGTCAAAATAAGGTTTATCTATGTCAAACATAATGTGTCATTTTAAAATGAAGATTATGAATGTAAGTAATATAAGTACATTTTTTATTGTATAATTGTAGTCGTCAAAAAAAGGGTTGACTGCATAGGTATATTCAATTCAATGTTAAAACCTTGTTTAATATTAAAAAGTAACAAATCTAAATTGTTCTAAGTTTTCAGTACAGATCAAACTGTAATTAAACATGTGTAAGCCTCATGTATTTCATAAACGAAATATATATACAGTACATAAAATATCCAGAAATATAAATTTTCCTGGCTGGATCGATGTCACAAATTCTTTTTTATTGTATTGCTTGCGGTCAGAAGAAGGTTCTAATTGAAACTTGGGCAAGGTCAATAACAGGAACCAACCAATTAAAGTGGAGAATGCTGTAACGTTTCGATCTTAAATTCATCTGTCTCATCCATTGTCTACAAAAATAGGTTTATCCAATCATCAAATTTCAAATACGATCACTCTAAATGAGTTTCATAAATCTACTTTGGCTCCTATATTACTGAGTGGTATCGCTTGAAGCTCGGTGCGGAGACACAGGAACTCTCCGGCTACACAAGTGATGCAAGCACAGGACACGCTGAGCGCCCACCAGGAGAATGTCGTTGGGAATGTACCGTTGTACATCCAGCAAGCGATGAGATGAAGACCGTGGTATGTGCAACTGAAATGTGAAAATAGATAAATGATAAATCATTTATACTGACTAGTTGGCCAAATGGTCGAAAATGCAACCGCCGGACAGTTCGATTACTGGGTCAGGCAAAGTATTATTGGTTTCTTCAAAAAATCTCAGTAGTAGCACGGAGTCTGGAAATGTGCCCGGTATATGGCAATAGGCTCACCCCCTATTACATGGGACTCATAGCATAAATTGTGAAAAATTGGTGTTACATTGTACAGTGGTATTTAAGTGCCATAATGTGTCCTCTGCGTACACCTACTGAGATAAAAGGTGTGATGTTATGATGACTAATTAGTTGCATCCTATTTAATCAGATAAAGATAAAGATAAAGACATTTATTTGCGTAAAAACATGGTATACAAAGATGTTATAGTTACAATATAATAGATCATCATGTTTTGCTTAATAAATAAAGCATATATTATATATATGCTTTATTTGTTATAACAAATAAAGATTATATCATACCTAAAGTCCAAGCACAGTTTTGTTCTGCCGACAATCATCCATAGTACAAAGGCTCCAATAATTGCATTCACTACAAATGCAAATATGACCGAGCGACCCTCATGGTCACGAATGTGTATCTCCTGAAACACAATCAAACAAATTGTTTTAAGGATTAAGTACTTGTTCTAAGTTATATCAAGATTCGAGGTTAAGAGGCAACCTGCTGTCGTCATTGGTCAAATGGATTTATCCAAGTTATAATAAATCTATACAGATAAATAAAATTGGAGTGTGTATTATTAAAATAACTGCTTTTTACTACATGCATATGAATATACATATCGAGGGGTAACGGACTATTTGGTTTAAGGGACATTTTGGTCGATATTGAGTTATATATATATTCGGAATCAGCGAATTTTTCTCCGTCGAATGTATATAATGACTCAATATCGCCCAAAATGTCGCTTAAACCAAATAGTCTGTTACCCCTCGATATGATACACATACCAAAATCTTGTTTTTTATAATTTTTGTCTGTCTATTTGTACTGGCAAATCTCTAGAATGACTATGATGGTTACCTTTTATTGGAAGGAAGCCAGTATACTAAGGAGGAAAATACAATACATTCATTTTGAAAAAAAAAAAATTGTATGTCCTAAACTTAATAATATTCTTATTCAAAGCCGTGCGCAACAGCTAGTCTTCAATAAAAGTAGTGCTTCAGTATAATGACTTATTGAAATGAAGCCATTCATTGACTTTATAATATTTCACAGTCCTGAAGAATTGAATGACCAATTACTGTAGGTTTCTTTAACATTTCTTATAGAAAAACCCAAACCCTTATAAGTGCATAGTAAAGTACCTCAACAAACAATAATATGGCCTTTGGCAGCCCACTGCTAAACTATAGGCTTCTTATCTTCAGTATTATCAGAGTACTGCCTCGTCGCTATCATGTATGTACTCTTAGTGGGTTCCTAAGACACCCACAGAGGTGACAAAAGTATTTTATTCTGTCTCCTAACATCAAACAACAAAGTAAACAACAGACTTACGTGATATTCGAAGATATGGTCCAAGGTTCTTGTAGATCCTGTCAGATCTTGCATGAGGGCGATGATGAGACATAACGAGCAGTACAATACGGACTGCATAGCCACTATCTGCGAGACTATCAAGCAAGGATCCCACTGGGTATAGCGAAACGAGCCCGTTAACTTCTTAATCTTCGACATTTTCACTAAATTTAACTAAAAAGTTTGAAGTCGTTTACGTAGGTAGCAATTTCCAAAGTCGTTTTCGAGAGTTTCGACGTCTAATTGTAAACATATGGACTTATTAGAGCAATGTTTTTGATGAAATTATAATTTTTATTTGATAATATCACGATACGATGACAAATACGTAGAGTTCCAACGCAAAATGTCAAAGCTGTCAACCAAAACGTCAAATTCACGACTAATTGCTGATTGTCATTTTAGTTGGACAGATTACGTGTAAAGAAACGTTGGTTTAACTTGAGTTTTATTATTTTGTATGTCGATCGATATTTACACGCGTTGTGTCTCACAATAGAAAACGCATTGTGTCTCGCGTTGATCTACGCTCCGACAACCAGAGGCTAATCTTACGTGTACTGGAACGTATCTCTGTTTTGTTTTTGCATTTTTATTAAAGATAAAAAAGAAGTTGTTATTTTTATTGTGTGAACTTTATAGGATATTTAATTTTATGATCACATCGCTGATGCAATCTTCTGGTTATCTATAAGAATAATAAATCTTATAGTAAATGAGACTACATCTGCCAGTTCATTAGGTGGAAGTAAATAAATAATTACAAATATCAGGTAGGTACTTAGGTAGTATAATTTATTTAAAATAAATACAAATTAAATATTATTTAACATAATTTAATTTAGTTTCATCTACAACTGGATGTACCATCCTAGTTCTTGTCACTTGGGAATAATATCTCGCTGACTCTTTGGGCGTGCGAGTTCGATTAGGATGCGTGAAGTCTACGGCGTATAGGCCAAATTTTGAGCTGAAAAAAAAAGAAAAAAAACAAATAAATTAAATTAGTTGGCTGTATACAAATATACTTAAGTATTTATTGGGATTATTTATTACGTTTTATTTATAGGTACCTAAGCAATGAAACGGTTCGGTAGAAAAACATTAAACTCGTCGTTATTTTACACCGTACCTATCGCATATCAATAGCAATAAAACAAAATCGAGTAAGTAGTACTTAATTACTAATAGTAACTAAAGTAATTACAAGTAGGTACCCACTTATCTTTATAGTTTAAGCCAATAATGATACGGTGTCAACAAAACTATTAGAATCTAGATACATATAAAAATAGTTTTTAGGCCTATTGCCAAAACTTTTGAAGTGTGACACAGCCAAGCACGTATGGCGGCTCGACCGGAGTGATACCACGGCCTCACAGAAAATTGACGTGAAACAACGATTGCGTTGTGTTGAAGTTACCGGAATCCCAAGTACCCCTTTCCTAATCTCCCCAGTTGATGAATACCCAACAATCATATAATTCCTAGCCCCAAAAGGCCGGCAACGCACCTGTAAAGCCTCTAGTGTTTCGGGTGTTCATGGGCGACGCCGATTGCTTACTATCAGGTGATCCGTCTGCTCGTTTACAAGCTTTCCAAAAAAAAAACAAATTGTATTTTGTTTAATGCCTAAAAAAGGCCTGTCAAAAAATTTCATTGTGTGGCAAGACGTTTGGTGACGATGAAGTAAAATTTGTTAACTTAAGTTTAAGAGTGAAGTTTGGGATCGCAATCGTAGGTTCAGGTTTATCAGAGAGCGTTACTGTACAGTCTCTGTCAAATATAGAGGTATAGTTCCTTAGTCGGCGAGGTAGTGTAATTTTTCAATAACTTACAAATATCCACTCATCCATTCGAAGTTGTCCATCAGCGTCCAGGCGGCGTACCCAGTCACGTTGATACCGTCATTGATAGCCAGCAGGATCTGGAGAAACAAGAGAAAATCGTGATACTAACAAACAATATTATTATTGGAAAAGTCAAAGTCAAAGCATTTATTTCAATAAACCATAGTTTGGTACTTTTGAAACGTCAACGCAGGACGTAAGGTGTAGGTGTGACATAATTATATTTATTTATTTATTTTAACACACGCTTAATGTCAGATAGCATTCTCTACCAGCTAACTTCAGGGTGAGGCAATGCGTGCTTAAATATAATCATCAGCATCATTAGCCAGAAGACGTTTACTGAGCGGTACAAAGGCCTCCCAGCCTCCTTCATAGTCCTCCACGTCGAACGACACCAGTAGCATCTATTAACTCTCCGCTACCATGTCGATGCCGTCGGTCCACCTAGCGTGAGGTCTGCTCACGCCACCACGCAAGCACTTTCTTAAACCGTCGGTGTTTAGTACTTCAAGCGATGTAGCTTGCCCATTAATACTTCAGATGGCAATACGCACACTTCACTGTTCACATCACATGACCAGTCCGTGACAATACCGCTAGAAGTAGATTATGACCCTTCTCTATAAAAGAAGGGGTTTGCTATAATCTCTGTCCATAACAGGGGGTGGAAAATCGCAATTTCAACAGTTCAGGTTCATCAGAGAGATTATGACATCCGAGGGAATAGGGCATATATTATGTGCCTAATACAAATGTACCTATCTAGACTAGATAAACTAACACACCTGTTCCAAGTACTCCTTATAGTAGTCAGCCTGAGGATGTCCACAAGTCCATCATCAAGGGTTGGTATTCCATTCTCAGTGATGATAATCTCCTTTATGTCATATGTGGTGTTCAGCCAGTGGAGCTGTTCCCGAAGACCTTCTGGATAGAACTGGAATGTACATGAAAGTTTACCTACTGAACTTTTGATATACACGAACAAAAAACGAAGACACTGACGATTTTTTCATTTTTCATTTCTTGATAAATATTTTCTGATACGAATATTTTTTTAATTCGTAACGTATGTTGTATAGAAGGCAAGGCACAAGTGAGTGTTACATTGTACAGTGGCATAATGTGCACCTCTGCCTACCACTTCGGGGATAAAAGGCGTGATGTTATGTTATGTTCTAGACGGTTTAATAAAGTGTATACAGTCTAGATTTAAACACTCTTTTGTTGTATCAAAATAAACAATGTATAAATAACGTGATGTGGAGATGGCATCATTGAATGTAGTCAAGTGAAACAAGTCACAGGCGTCTGCCTGTGTGGTGTAGATGTGTCTATATTATCTACGTAGAACAAAAAATCCTGATACTCACAGCAAACCAGTCAACTCCAGTGGTCCTCCATCGAGGATCCTTATCGAATATCACGTTAAGTTCTGGTGAGCCATCAAAGAACCATGATCCTGCCTTCTCACGTGGCTTCGCCCGGCGTACCAGACGCGTTGTATAGTGGTTTAGAGCATAATAGTCATATGTTCCTAGAAACAATTACAAACATATGTTTTAAATCATAACATAACATCACGCCTTTTATCCCGAAAGGGTAGGCAGAGGTGCACTTAATGCCACTGTACAATGTAACACCCACTTTTCACTATTTATGCTATGAGTCCCATGTAATAGGGGTGAGCCTATTGCCATATACCGGGCACAATTCTAGACTCCGTGCTACTACTGAGAATTTTTCAAAAACCCAGTAATACTTTGCCTGACCCGGGAATCGAACCCGAGATCCCTTGCTCGGCAGTCGTACATACCTGCGACCACTCGGCCAACGAGGCAGTCAATCAAATCAAGTTTTACATTTACGTGTAGGGATCTCATTATATTTCATCAGTGCCGGTTATGGTGGTCGGGTCGGATCGTGGTCAGATTGAACTCAAACCGGTTTAAACTAAGTACAGGGTACCTCCCTGCAATAGTCTTTGGCCCACAGAAATATTATATCTACGCTTTGGCCAGAACACAGGATAATTTATGATTCCATAATACAAGAACGCGATTCAGGACAACGTATGCCACTGCCAGACTGCCACTACTGCAAAGTGGCCACTGCTAATTTTAGTAAATTTCCAACAAATTTCTAGGAAATAAGTATGCTGTTTGACGCTAAAAAACGTGACGTCACAATACACAATCTCGTACAAAATTCATAGAAAAGTATCATTTTTGACAGTTCGAAAAATTATATTTAACTAGCTTTTACCTGCGGCTTCGCTCGCGTCACAAAAGGATAAAAGTAGCCTATACCAATACACACAGTGCCATCTATACCAATTCTTTAGTTTTCCCTCGGGAATACCAACATTTTCCGGGATAAAAAATACCCTATTATTTAATTCGGACTTCTAACTTTACGTGTACAAAAATTCAAAGCAATCGGTTTAGAAGTTACGGCGTGAAAGCGGAACAATCAAACAAACTCACTTTCCCATTTATAATAGTAAGGATTTGATTAGTCAGTGGCAAATACACAAGTAATCACCGCACCTGCTCAATGCGGGTTTGGTACCAACATGATTCTAGGGAAGTCCAAGAACCATATCAAACCTTTACATGTATACCTCTAACCAGCTCAATTTCTTCGGGAGTGAATGGTGGTAGCATGTAATGGTAGCCCTGTTTCTTGGCGATTTCATTCAGTAGCTGCTCCAGTTTGCGTGGCCATCCTCCCTCCTTGGAGAAGATGGGGTGGGTGTATCTGCCTGCCTGGAAGTAACGGCTGTTTGATGAGTAGGTAGAGGTGATGGTGTGTGCAAGGGTACTGTTAGAAAACTGGTGTCATTAGTGATGTTTAATAATTAAGATTTCCATAATAACTATCGTGAGATAATTAATTAGAAATCGGGTTTACTCAAGGCTGACCATGAAGAAGAACCCCCCTATGGTTCAAAACAAGTAGAGCTTTTCTCAGTATATTCACGTGAGTAATACGCGATTTTTTATATATATTTGATATGATATGATATGATATATATATATTTGATGGTCGAATGTTTGTCTCCTATCTCGCCTGGTGGTAAGCGATGATGCGGTCGACGATGGAGCACGGTTGACCATAAGCACCATATTCACTCGGGCCTTGAAGACACCCAGGTTAAACCGTTCAGGAAATGCGAACTTTAGATACAGATAAGCTTGAAAGCAGAGAATGAGATTGACGTTATTTTTAGACTCCCTCGTTGGCCGAGTGGTCGCAAGTGCGACTGCCGGGCAAGAAGTTTCACTTTCGATTAGGGACGGAGTCTGGAATTGGGCCCGGTATATGGCAATAGGCTCACCCCCTAATACATGGGACTCATAACATAAATACCTGGTGAAAAGTGGGGGTTACATTGTACAGTGGCGTTAAGTGCCGTAATGTGCACATCTGCCACCTTCGGGGTTAAAAAGGCTTAATTTTATGTTTCATTTTAGATTTTTAAATCGTTATAAGAATTGCGAGAGGAAACAGTAAAAAAACAACCCATACCCAAAGGTCGATGGTCAAATCCGTCACTTCTTGGTCTTCTGGCTCGACTGGCTTAAACCAGAAGAATAAAGTTGATAGAGACAACTTCCCTGAAAAAAATAATAATTAAAAAGTTACATAACGATTTGTTGAGATTTCTTTTGACTGTAAAATCGAATAAGGCTCTATGACCAGAGGCGTGCACAGAGGTTTGAAGTAGGTTAGGCAGAAGGTATCACATGATTAAAAATAAATTTGGTCTAGGTAGGTACATTAATCTCGGAAAATAAAACTCCCGAAACATCATAATTTTGAGTAGGTCATTAGGTTTAGTAAGTATTTTATTAATTTTTTTATATAAACAAATTAGGTACATAATTATTTTAAAACTATCCGTGTATAAAGTTGATCAACATAGTGTTAGACGACGAAAATCAACTAAATGAACGTCACTAGTTTAATCTATGTTATCGACAGCACTAGCTGTCATAATATGACAGCTAGTGCTGTCGATGTGCTGACGATGTCATCTGTCAAATGGGACAGACTAGAAAAGTTTCCCGCGCAAAGTGGAGTGACGCGCGATACTGGTGGGAAGTTGGAAGAGCATTGCGCTGTGTTCGTAAAAGAATCCGTTTATAATAAACTTTTAGATATTTAAGTATTGACTTTTACTTAAAAATAGATACCTAGGTATGGCTAACTTGGAATCCATCAGATCATGATCAAGCCTTCATTATAATTTCCGAAAGAAAATGTTTTTTATTAATTATTTTCTACTAACGACCTTTGAATGAAACCTTCATACATTATTTAAATTATATGCAGAAACCTTACTTATGAGTCGAACTGTTCGTTGCTGAAAACTGTGTGAATGACCTTGAGTTATTTAATACTAGCGTTTATCCGCGGCTTCGCTCGCGTCACAAAAGGATAAAAAGCCAATGTGACATATACCAATATACACAGCGCCATCTATACCAATACTTTTGTTTTCCCTCGGGAATATAAAATTTTTCATGGATAAAAAGTACCCTATTATTTAATCCGGACTTCTAACTTTACGTCTGCAAAATTTCAAAGCAATCGGTTTAGTAGTTACGGCGTTAAAGTGGAACAAACAAACAACAAACAAACTCACTTTCCGATTTATAATATAAGTAAGGATATAAGTAAGGATTTTGAGTTCACAATAACATACATACATACATAACTTCACGCCTGTCTCCCATAAGGGTAGGCAGAGACTAAGGAACGCCAATTACTACGATTATTACATACCTCTTTCGCTTCATTAACAGTCATCAATCTTTTCATGCATGCTCGCCGGTTAAGGGTACTTTTAATTTGGCCCTTCTTTAATATATCGCCAATCTGGTCACTATATGTCCGTCTAGGGCGCCCTCTACCGACGGCACCATTCATATCATATTCACAATAACAACCTTCACATAAACACATCATAATATAATTTGAGTGTCCGTTGCTCATCTCCGTCGCAATCGTCACAGATGAGCTCTCATGTCGTCAGTCAGTCAATTCCCGGTTCGGAGAAAATTATTCGGTATTAAATATTATCGCTGCTACTGCCTAGTTGGCCGAGTGGTCGCAAGTGCGACTGCCGGCCGGGTCTCGAGTTCGATTCCCGGGTCGGGTAAAGTATTACTAGGTTTTAAAAAAAATCTCAGTAGTAGCACGGAGTCTATAATTGTGCCCGGTATGGCAATATATTACATGGGACTCATAACATAAATAGTGAAAAGTGGCTGTTACATTGTATAATGGCATTAAGTGCCGTAGCGCGGAGTCTTGAATATTGTACTCGGTGGATATAAGAATAAGGTCGGAGTTTTAGTCACATTCGGAGACTATATGTCACTAAACTTAATAAAAAATATCTTTTAAACCTTTCCAAAACCACTCACCATGATATTTATCCCGGTACAACTCATCGTAGATCCTGTAGGCTTTAGCATGGGCTATCATAGCATTCTTATTGCACAGGTTCTGCCCCACATAGGTGTCATTAAAATAAGGGGCTGAGAACTGCCTATAGCCCCCGTCACATAAACCCATAGGCTCATTGATTGTGACCCAGTATTTCACTCGGTCACCATATAGCGAAAATACCACATTCGCGTAGTCCGCAAACCAGTCTGCTATTAAGGGATTCGCCCAGCCACCTGGAAAAGAAAATAATTGTCCAAATTAGTTTTTTGTGAAATGGAATACTGCTCTCATTTCTGGGCAGAAGCGCCAGCATACCAGCTTGGACCTTTTGACGCGGTCCAAAGGAGAGATTAGACTTGTTGACGATCCTATACTTACGAGCGGTATCGAGCACATATGATGCCCACGTCCACTTTCTCCCACGGACCTTCCGATTGTGGAATTAATTCCATGCCATGGTTTTCCCAGTATGCTACAACCGGGGGTTCTCCAAGAGGGGAGTGAATAGGTTTCTTAAGGGTCGACAAGACGCATATAATGCCCCAAGTGTTGCAGGCGTACATAGGCCGGCCGGCTTTTTGTCACAGTCATGGTATAAAAAAAAATGGAGTCAAATGAACTAACGGATCACCTGATCGTAAGCAACCAGTGCCGCCTATGGGTGGTACCCACAATACTATTGAATTGAATTATTGTTACAAGTGCGTTGTTGACCTTGAGGGACCTATCGACGAAACATGACGTGCATAACTGTTGTTTAACACAGGTTTCCTGGAGGCTGTGGCACCACTCTGGTCAAACCAACCCTATCGTGTCGAAATATGATTCTCTCGTGAACAGTAAGTGGGTTGTGTTATTTATTCCCAACAATTAAGGGATTTACTCAAAAAACCAATCCTCACCTAAGTCTTGCAAAGACTGTGGAAGATCAAAGTGGTAGATGGTAACCAGAGGTTGTATCCCCTTCTCCAGCAGACCATCGATCAGGTTGTTGTAGTAGTTCTTGCCATCCTCGCTGATGTGGTTCGGAAACCCAGTCGGAAGCAGACGAGGCCAGGATATTGAAAACCTAAAATTTTGGAGTTAAATATTTAACGTAATCTGTTTCTACAACACCATCTGATGGGTCAGTGATCATTAAAGCAAAAAAAAATATCGACATTTTCTTTTTATAATGCTACTCCGTCTGGGTAGGTGTGGTCACCACACGGTGACGGTGGAATAGAATAGGTGCATTCATCACCTCCCTAGCTCTTCCATTCCTTCCGTGGGTGCTATAACATTTGACAGAGGATGGGCAGCAGCCATCCTTACTAATATTATAAATATGAAAGTGAGTTTGTTTGTTTGTTTGTTTGTTTGTTCCGCTTTCACGCCGTAACTACTAAACCGATTGCATTGAAATTTTGCAGACGTAAAGTTAGAAGTCTGGATTAAATAATAGGGTACTTTTTATCCCGGAAAAATTTGGTATTCTCGAGGGAAAACGAAATTATTGGTATAGATGGCGCTGTGTGTATTAGCATATGTCACATAGGCTTTTTATCTTTTTGTGATGCGTGCGAAGCCGCGGGTAAAAGCTAGTCTCTAATAAATCTGAACGTTTTAAACTACGATCTTATGAAAGACTAGCTTCAGCCAGCAGCTTTGTACGCATTCTCGTGGCATAAAAAGTAGCTTACGTCTTATTTCAAACCATAATCTACCTCTTTTCAATTTTATCCCGACCACTTCAGTCGTTTAGACGCGAACAAACAAACAAACAAACACAAACTTTCGAATTTATAATATTAGTAGGATTACGGCAAACACTCCTATGTAGAGGAGGTCCATAGTCTTTTTTAAGGGGGGAAAATCATCGAAAGACTTCTCCAGCCTAGGTGAGGCGGGAGGGAGTGTCAGACTCTTATTGACTAAAACCACCCAGTTCCTACTCCTGCATTTCGAGCTGGAGCCCCGGTAACCCGTTAAGTTCTCCGCGGCTTCGTATTGGCATCAGCCCTATTGGGCCCCATCTAGCCCCATTGGCGCACGCGGAACGCGACGCGCCGCACGCTCGGGTCTGATTCTGATCGAGCGGCGAGCTACCCATGCTCGCCGTCCGCAAGCCTGAGGTCCATAGTCTAGCAGTGGACTCAAAGACTGTTGTTGACCTCACCTGTACATGTTCAGTCCTAATTCCTGCAGCATCTCAATGTCCCTTCTCCACAAGTGGTAGGAGTCACAGGCCACGTCTCCATTGGTGTGGTCCATCACCAGCTCCGGACGATCATGGAGGAGCTTGTCCCAAATACTAAGACCTTTGTCTGGAAGAACAAGCTTCTCGTTTTATCCTGTGTTGTGATAATTTCTAGTATCGTGGATGTGTTTAGCATCTTCACATTCATTGCCACTTTTAGGACTTTAACTAGTAAAAAAACTTCGTTTAAAAAAACCGACTTTAAAAAACAAAAAGTATAAACTAAAAAGCAAAAAATAACGTTCACTCATTTTTAAATAATAAAAAAAAATATTATTGGTCTTACGTACTTACATATAGCTTACACACCCACTGATAGGTGAGAAGTCGGTGCCACAAACCCATAACAAAATATATCTTAGGTAATGGTCACAGGTATAATCTATCTATACCTACATATAATAAAATTGTAGAAAAGTGCTGTCTGTACATTGAAAATAAAAATAAAAAAAATAGCAGGGGTTATTGTTATGTCGATGTCGAACCCAAAAATGTAATTAACTTTTTTTTGTCTGTTTGTTTGTTCACGCTAATCTCAGAAACGGCTAATCCGAGTTGGATGCGGTTTTCACGAATATATTGTGGTATGCTTCAGTTATGCTTTAGTGTTTGTTTCATGTCAATCGGTTCATAAATAAAAAAGTTATGTCAAATTAAAGAATCACGTCGAACACTATTCTATGCTTATACATACAAAATGACTGTGATTATGATCCAAAATAAAAATAAGTATATATTTAAAAAAAAATGCTGCTCATAGTCACTATTCCACGCGAACGAAGTCGCGGGCACAGCTAGTCCACAATAAAATTGTAAACAGAAAAAATTAACAAATGCACTAGTCGCCCCTATAATTTTTGAAGTTACTCTCTGTTTCCCTGGGATTCCATCATCAGATCCTGACTTCATGACAATGGGACCAAATGACAAACCTACCCTTACAAACAAAAAAAAAGAATTTTTGAAATCGGTCCAGGTGTCTCGAGTAATCAGGTAACAAACATAAAAAAACAATACAGTCGAATTGAGAACCTTTTTTTTTTTGAAGTCGGTTGAAAATGGAGTTACCTACCACTGACATTCCATGCCCCTTCAATTTGGTAAGCAGCTGAAGCAGCCCCGAACATGAAAGTTTCAGGGAACTTCAGCTGTTCAGTCGCAGTCCAGGCTCCATGAATCAGTGTACTGAAATAATAAATACAATTATAGACATACTAGCTTTTACCCGCGGCTTCGCTCGCGTCACAAAAGGATAAAAAGTAGCCTATGTGACATATACCAATACATACAGCGCCATCTATACCAATACTTTTGTTTTCCCTCGGGAATATCACATTTTTCGGGAATAAAAAGTATCCTATTATTTAACCCGGACTTCTAACTTTACGTTTGCAAAAATTCAAAGCAATCGGTTTAGTATTTACGGCGTGAAAGCGGAACAAACAAACAAACTCACTTTCCGATTTATAAAATTATAGTAAGGATACGTGGACGTTTAACCACCATCTCGCCTGGTGGTAAGCGATGATGTGGCCGACGATAGAGGACCTATATGAGCAACCTGCTCACTCGGGATTTGAAGACACCTAAGTTGTATGTGTCGGGAAATACAGATTCCGCCTGAGTTTCATTCCTTTCTTTAACGGAGAAGGAATTCTTTGCCCGACCAGGAAGCGAACCCGAGACCCTTTGTCCAGCAGTCGCACTTGCAACCACTCGGCCGACGAGGCCATATAGAATGTAGGTATGTATGTATGTACCCAATTCTTTTTCGATTGAAACATTATAGTAATGTTGTATTCTGTGAATGAAATAATAAAAACAATAGATGATGTAACCTTCCCATCACGTTTTATACGAAATTTTATAAGAAAAAGATTGTATCTGAGTTGATTAATAGCTACAGTTAATTTTAAAATATGTAACGAATATTATAATTTTATAATTGAGGTTTTTGGTTCATGAGTTTTAAAAGAATTTAAATTTATATTTCTTTGATGTCCTTGAGATAAAAGTGCAACTGCTTTGATTTTTTTATATTTGATGGGTCGACGTTTGATCTCTATCTCGCCTGGTGGTAAGCGATGATGCGGTCTACGATGGAGCACGTCGTCCCATAAGCAACCTATTCACTCGGGCCTTGGAGACACCTTTTTTTTGAGGGGAGATAATCATCCCATGACTTCTCTCACCTTGGGTTAGGCGAGAGGGAGTGTCAGACTCTTACTGACTAGAAACCACCCCGTTCCTCGTCATTCCCGGCAACCCGTTAGGCCTTCCGCGGCTCCATATCGGGCATCAGCCCTACTGGGCCCCATCTGTGGTGGTCTGATGGCTATTTGTCACAGTTAGCCTCCCCCCGTCCTTGTCACAGTTAATCACATTTGTGAGACTCCCTCCTCTAGTGTGATTGCGAAGTCATATTTTTCTAATTTTCCCATAGAAATTGTTGAATTAAAATGGCGATTCCGAAATCAGTTTTCTTTCGTACTAGTATATCATGTGGTCGACAAAACAAATGACATTGTATATTTACACAGATAATATAGTTCGATTATTAAACTGTCAAACATCGCGAGGACACCGGTGACCGCAACTTATTGTTCTTTAATTGTGTCTATAATGACGGTACTCAAAGGGTTAAGGCGGAAATATGGGGGTTACCTGGAATGTTTTCCAGGAGTTTTGAAAATTGGCCTCACACGACAAAACACAACGCAAGCGTAGTTTCACGTCGGTTTTCTGCTCGGCCGTGATATCACTGCAGTTGAGCCTCCCATTCCTGCCGAAGCATGGCTCTACCACACTTAAAATATCGGTGAAAAACACAATTTTTTTTTCTCGCGAAACGAAATTTGGTTTGGTTACTCTTTTTCAACAAGGTTTGTCTTTTTCCATCTTTTAACTTAATGTCGGTGTTACATTGTTCACATATAATTGAAGCAACGAAACAATGTAGCAAAGAATTGTATTGTCAACTTAATTGAAAAAGAGTCACCTATAGAGGACTGACCGACAGACTGTCATTTTTTATATTTTAATATTTGTTTGACGTTCAATAGTTCCTGGTCTAATTGAAATATATGATCTTGACTTTGATTTTGATTTACGTTTTGATTTTTTATCGAATAATTATTTATATTATACTGGCTTCTGTCCGCAACTTCGCACAATGCCATTTTTCCGTTCCCGTGGGATTTTAGAGAAATCCTTGAATAAAATATCCCTACCGTCTCCTCATTCTAAGCTACCTCCCAACAATTATCAACCAAATCGATTTAGCCGTTCTTGAGTTATAAATAGTGTAACTAACGCGACTTTCTTTTATATAATATAGATTCGACAAGGGCCTACAATATGAACATATTGTAACCATGGCTGATTTGAATAAAGAATTTATAAAGAACTAGCTGTTTCCCGCGACTTAGTCCGCGTATAATACTGATTTCTAACAAATTTTAATTTTTTTTATTAGTCTTCTCCAAGGCTAGATGTACTACTGTGTAACAAATCTCATCCTGATCAATTTAAAGCAATTTAGCATTGTAAACTTTTCCAAGTAACCTATTCCCTTGCGTACTTTCTAAGTTCGTTACGAAGTGTTAATACAATAAAAGACTGCAGTATAATATTATTATAAGATAATAATATTATAAATAAGATCTAAGATAATCATAATAAACTTGATCAGAGATCCTTGTCAACAATCTCTTATCACAAATAAGATAAAGACACCATTGAGAATAATCATAATCTTGAACCTAATCTGGGATTTAAGTAAACAAATACCACCATCACGCATTTTAATCTTTGAATGGTAGGGTTATCAAACTGTGCGTTCATTTGAAGTTATATTGTTAGTTGCACTATATTTGATAAAGTACAATATATTTTGTCACCTTCCTTTGTCGTTAGAACAGTCTAAGGAAATAACAGAGATCAAGTCAAAGTCAAAGTCAAATCATTTATTTCAATTAGACCAGAAAGGCACTTTTGAACGTCAATATTAAAATTAAAAGTGAAGCTATTTGCTCATTCCAAGGTGTAGATTCCTATGGAGAAGAACTCTTTTTCAATCAGGTTCACAATACAATTCTCTAGTTATATAGTTTGCTGTTTGGATTGTGCGAGAACAATGTAACACTAAAATCTAGTCAAAGTGATTGAAAAGACGGTTTACCAAATGTAATACACGTAGGTATGCACTTAGTCTCTTAGGGATTAGGGATGTGCCGTAATAGGCGTTACACCATTGGAGCTCCGGAGTAGGTCTCTTCTAGAGGACTCGGTACCCCTTACAGGTGCTGAGAGTGGCCACCGGGGTGGTTTAGTGAAGTACGAATCCCACACTCCCTAGTCTTTCTCCCCAAAAAGCTAAGTGCCTTTTGAAGGTTTCTCCCCGTCATCAAAATAAAGGTATGCACTTGGTAGGCAGGTTGGTATCGCAGTTACGTCAACAAAAATTTTGAGGAGAACACGGCGGTCCTTGGTCCTTGATCATAGTTTTTGGGACAAACCAGAGTAGGTAAATATGTATATATCACATCTATTATCAAACCGTAAACTGTATTATTTTAATCACTGTTTGCAACGCTGATAGCATTTTTTTTAAGGGGGGAAAATCATCGAATGACTGCTCCCGCCTGGGTGAGGCGGGAGGGAGTGTCAGACTCTTACTGACTAAAAACCACCCCGTTCCTTCCCCTGCACGTCGAGCCGGAGCCCCGGTTACCCGTTAGGTTCTCCGCGACAACGCTGATAGCTTACCATCAGGTGATCCATCAGGTCCTTTGCCTCCTACTCCATAAGGTAAAGGCAGCTCGAAGGAAAATAATGGTAAAAACATATAACTCTGACTTTTCTACGTTTTTTCCACGTGACAAAGGCAATAACAAAACACCATACAAAAGAAACTGATACCAAAAAAATCCATATTCCGAAACGAGAATCCGAAACAAAAACTAAACAGTTGCAACGATTAAACCAAACGTGGATTATATACACGTTTACGCAAATCAAAAACAAAATAAAACCGTGAGAAAATCCATTATTAGAATAAGAATAAAATTATAATAATTACTATTATAATATTAAGTTAAAACTCACGTTAAAACAACTGCACACTTAAAATACATGGTAAAGACTGAGGCGTTGGAAATGGATGTTGTAAAATACTCGAGGCTTTTATCATTATAATCTTTAGTTTATATGGATAAGCCAGAACAGCTTGAAAATTTGAAACTTCATTTTAGAGGTAGGTATTTCTAATTTTTTTATGGGATGAGCCGGTAAACGAGCAGATGGATCACCTGATAGTAAGCAATCGGCGTCGCCCTTGGACACCTGAAACACCAGAGGCGTTACAAGTGCGTTACTGGCCTTTTTTATAGCATAAGCCGATAAACGAGCAGACGGATCACCTGATGGTAAGCAACCGGCGCCGCCCGTGGACACCCGAAACACTACCGCGTTACAAGTGTGTTACCGGCCTTTTGGGAATCGGGAATTTAAGGATTATTAGGGTTTCAGGGATTGGGGAGATTGGAGAGGGGGAGAGGGTAATTGGGCCTCCGGTAAACTCACTGACACGACGAAACACAACGCAAGCGTTGTTTCACGATTTTCTGTGAGGCCGTGGTATCACTCCGGTCGAGCCGGGCCATTCGTGCCGAAGCATGGCTCTCCCACACTCAAATGGACAATGTTAACGTTTTTAGAAATATGTGTCTATGTTACGGAATTGATGTACCTATTCTTAATTTTGTCGTACAATCGAAATATACATATGTATATGCGTGTAATGTTTTGATGACATGCAGTTTTCATGCAAAATTAGCGTTGTACTGTGACGTCACAGTACAACGTCCTGATATTGTATTTTTTAAAATATAGCGAAAGGTAGTGAGTAGGTAATAGTCATTATTAGTTCGGCTATTTGAGATAGAAATGCGTTGATACTTTCTTAATTTTACGTTATGGTAACATTCTCCATTAAACATCAACAGCCTATAAGTAGCCACTGCTTACCAAAGGCATCTTCTCACATGGTGAAGGTTTGAGCATTAATCACTACGCTTACTCATTGCGGGTTGGCGATTTCAATGTTATAATTAGAAATTATAATTATAAATCCAGGTTTCCTCACGATGTTTTCCTTCACCGTTTGTCAGTGGTGTCTAAATTATCTATGAAAGTACATATAACTCGGAATAG